TGGGACGCATTCCAAGAATAGCGTCGCGATATGTGGCTTTTGTAATTTCGAAATATGGATTCTATTCAAATAGCTTTCCGCTCGAATTCCCCGGCACGCTCGGGTTGCGACGAGGAAAAAAATCTGTCAATTTCGTCGCTCGATTTCATCGCGATATCGGCGAAATAATAGCGGCGAAATAGAGCGATATCATACAATATCATACAATAAATATATAAGAACCTCCTCGAAAAATTTCATATTCCCGGAAAATCTCATAATTTTTTCATAAGAAAAAAAGAAACGAAATTAAAAATTAATATCGAATATAATATATGAATATATGTGAAAATAACGCACGTAAAATAAACACACCTGATAGCAAATCAAGCAAATTGCGACACAATAAGATTATATAATAAACACGGCACTTCGTTATATCGTGAAAAAGCTGAAATTGCAAGCACATTTATTAAAACTGCCAGCTGTAAAAAGTGAGAAGAAAATTAAATTAGCCACGCTCGACGGAATAAAAACTTGCAAAAGCATCGAACAATATTTTTTTTGACGCTAAACAAACCAGTATATGTACACTAATAAAAGAGTAATTTGTAATATAGCGTACCCTCTTGTGGCTTCCAGTACACGTATTATTATCTCAAAAGGGGCACCGTTTCCATTGAAACTTTGCCGCAAATAGCGCGAATATATCGAGAGAGGGACCAAAATAATCGGGGAAACCCGAGTAGTCTTTCAGTTCGGCGATTATCTCGGCGCGCGTTGATCCAAAATCAGTCTTCATGCAAGATGCAAGCATATAATTGTAGCATTTTCGGCTGGTAGTCACGTCGCGCGTTCGGCGGTCGGTTCGTTGATTAAATCAGTGAACTGGAAATTCTGCAAAGTCTGCAACCTCATAGTTCGATTTCGACCGTTTCTATAGAAGTGTTCCGGATATGCAACGAGCAAGGCGCCGCGACAAGCGATGCAGCAACACGCACCGGCGCAGCAGGGCTGCAAAGAATCTGACGAGCGAAACACGTTCCGTGTGTTGCGAAGTTTTACTCTCGTACGCGACAATATAAAAGACCCAGGGCGTATGTAAAAGTATGCGCGCGTGCGAGGGGCTGCGATCGCGTCCTGAGAGTTTCGATTCTGGTTTTCGCGCAAATTCTGCTCCTCCGCGCAACACCGCCTCGTTCTTAACCCCCTGCGTCGGCATTTATTTGGCGGATTCGTGGAACGTGTGCAGCCAATTTCAGTTCACACCCGGAAGAAACAGAGGTATACGTTGCAACTCGAATTACATCTGCTTTACAAACTCTCAATTCGTGCGACAGGATGGCTACCAGACAACTAGTCAATTAACGGGAAACGATATCTCCGTTGTCGTGACCAAAAATATCCGTCTGAACATTCGGCTGCATTACAACTCGGTTGAGTAACTGAGAACAATTGACGGTATTCTTCTGCTTCTACAGTCGATGCCAGAAGACTCCATTAATGTTGTATTATTCATTAGGCATAGTAATATTGCAAGTTTCCAATTAAGCGCGTTATTTTTCTAAATTTGTGCAATATATTGCTGTTTAACACATTTACCTTGCTAAATTGGCACTAACATTTCAGCAGATCATTATTTACACGGGGTTTTTCGCTGTGTATAATTGGAGTTACTTGTGCGATTTTCCACTTTATTTTCACTTTAGGCGATTTTACTGTGCCGCTCTCCATCTAGGGAATGGTACATCATACACGATGCCGACCGTACAACCGAGTTTTCGTCTGGCCCTCAGACAATAGAGAACCAGTTACACGAACGGAGTTTTTCTCCATGTGCACAATCTCGCGGAATCTTCTCAAAGGCTTGATTATCATGAAATAACAAGATTAAGTCAAGTTTGTAATTAGCGGCGTGCACGTTTGACTTGCGAAAGCGTAATACCCAGAAGATGTCACTGCAGCGCAAGGGGTTAACGTTTTACGCGTCGCGATACCTCCTCGGTTTTTCGCAATTTATGACAAGCACCGTGGAAATCTCGAAAGGGCCCGGTAGCGCCGACAATGCGTTAATAACTTACAGAGCGGGAAGATTTAAAGAGCTTGGCGGACAGATGTATGGCGAAATTACTACCTCTCGCGGTCTCTCGTCCTCGAATAAATCGCGAGTCTCTTACATCCGATCGCGGCAGCAAACACCAAAGAGTAGAAACCTCCGGGTGCTCGTAAATCTGATCGGGTATTCTATTGGCTAGCCTCTCTCTCTCTCTCTCTCTCTCTTTTTTCTGTCGGCCACAACGACAGTATAAAAGTTGAAAAAATCTAACATGAAGATAACGAACGAGAAGATTCATCGCTGCGAACGAAAAATATGAGACAAGTGATCTGAGAGCGCGTCGCTTTTACGAGATTTATCGCTCGTAATGCCTTCAAAAAATGTCAAGGCAACAGGTAACTTAATTAGCGTTCGCAGGGGATCGATTAATAGCATGTCTTGAGTGTGCGATTAGATTCACTCTATCGAATTTGCTCATGACGCGTAATTATCGCCGAGTGTTATCAGCCGGAAAATGTAACGTACTTTCAATTACATCAGTTCGACTGAAAATTCCCCGCGACAAGTTATATCCGCAGACGAGACGCCGGGATGATGAACTAATCGTGTAAACGAGCGATTCGACTTTGAATTCGGTGTGTACGCGGGATCTCGTGGCTGGAATGTCGCCAAGTACAGATCGCCGTCGTTGTCGTCGAACTGATATATGCTTGAAGCGCAGGAAACACATGTGATTTCGTGTAAATAAATTTGCGGCGATATTCTCGGTGAATGCTTAAATGGCGGGTAGCGGTGACACGGCGCTCTTTGATCCCCACCGCCGGTAAGAGGGAAAGCGGAGGAGCGGCCGTTAGAAAAAGCGCTGGGAAAATTCTGACTAGTCGGAAATTGTACGGGAAGTCATAAATTCTCGCGCGGCGCGCGTACACACGCGAAACCAAAATGAGATACCGGGCGTATACGTGCAGCGTATCGAGCGAACACGCGCGACAAGCTGATATCAATTCACCGGGGAGCGACGGACATGGATCGGATTCAATGCGCGGATCAAACGCGACAGAGTTAATAACGACGCCGGGGCAACTTTCAACGCAAGCTGTATGCTTTGCCGCGGGAATATGTATAGCTCTCTCCGGGTGGCTTCGACTTACGACGGTTGCATCGCGCAAATGTGCATCGCGGCGACGAGAGAATTAGTGTAAATAATGTCAAGACGGGAAGATAGGTTTATGGCTATTCGCGAGCACTGTCGAATTCTATAGTTCAACATATCTCGCGTTTATGTACCTGGGTGTTTATATGCGCGTGTGTAACTTTATATTATATTGGCGCGTTTAACGCTCACCGAATTGTTTCGGGTTCATCATAGTATCAAAGCGAGATTTCTGAGAGTGTAAGCACCTGGTCAACATTACAGACGTTCATATGCGTTTTTATCAGAATTTTGTCGGAAATTAACCGTTTGAGTGCCAAGGAGCGATTTTGCGCTACTTCCGTTTCGCCCGAAAAGTACCAGCGTTCTAGGCTGCGAAGCCGATAACCGGCACACGCTCGGCTTCTGCCGATGCGCGACTTTACGGCTACCATTCCGTTTTAGGTAAAAATGAAATAATGAGACAACTGATAAAAAGACGAATTTTAATTGCAATCTAACATTTGGATGCAATCATCGGAGAATGAGACAAGCGCTATCGCGCCGTTTGGCATTTCTGGATGGGGAATAAGACAAGCGAAAAAGCGCTCCTTGGCACGTTTGGACGGGGAAACAGCAGAGACGCGTGGCACTCAAACGGTTAAGCAAATTTTTTTTGCGAACGCGGATCCGCACCATTATGCACTGCTGACAAGGTATACAAAGGCGTGGATCCGCGTCACGCGTAGTGAACGTGTTAAGTTACATATTCTAGTTCTTTTCTTAATTGTCTTACGCGTTTCGTGTTCTTGCTTTTCGTTTTCACTTTATTAAATTCGGCGATAGCAAGCGACGTACTAATAATTGCAGGTATCCATTTTACAAGGATGTCGTTCCACCCGTTAATCCGACGGACGGTGTCACTCACTCGATCGATGAAATCTGTTTCGTAATGAGGCTAGGTTTTTAAAAATGAAGCGCCACGTGTTTCAGTTTGGATTGTCAGAGACGACGATAAATAATGGCGGCAGTCGCTTATCGCAATTTGTACATTCAAAATAACGCCATTAATTATGATTTAACCTACTTCATCTCTCTGCAAATGAGGCAAATGCGCGTGAAACCCGGATTGACCTCCTCTTTAACACAAACTGAATAAACGGAGCTCTACTGCTATAGGTCAACTCGCTTTTTAAAAAGTGGAGTGCATCGTTCAAAAGAAAATACGCGAAAACATTTATGTTGGCTTTAATTGCAACGCATTACTCGCAACTAAACGGAATTATCATTCGTATAAGAGCGAAAACGAAGTTTCAAACCAAAGCACAATCATGTAATTTCAATTGAAATAAAAAAAAAAAAAAATGAGACACAGAAAGAAAGAGAGAGAGAGAGAGAGAGAGAAACAACGACGACTGACCCGATTTGCCCTGGCGAGTTTCGACCTGAAATTCTTTCAAAATATCACTGGGAATGGTAATCAAGGTGGCAATTGTAACGATATGAACCAAACTTTTAATTGCTCGTCGTGGAAACCGTATTTGTCATTCTGATATTCCGCGGGGGAAATTTATTCGAGCTCACGTCACGGTAGCTACAATCGAGCCCCGAGTCTCGCGTATGCTCCACGGGGACTGGGTATATTCAATTTGATAAAATAAAAAAGCCTTGTACACTTTCGAGACGCTCGTCTGACTCAGCCGTGCGTGAACGCGGCTCTAGGTAACTCCGAGAGTCAGAGAGAGAGAGAGAGAAAGAGAACGGCGGTCCTTCGCTTCGTGCACGCGCGGAGTTTCGTGCGATATCGCGTAATACGGTGCAGCATGTACTTACCTACTACGGTGAGATTTTTTAGGCCGGAGGCCGTGGAGAAGGTGGGCGCGTCCGCTGTGACTTCGCAGCTGAATGTGCCCGAGAGGTGGAAGTCGACGTTGTAAAGTGTCACTTGGCTCTTGTTCGAATTGGCGATCTGAAACACACGTTCGCGGTTAAGGCGCCGAGGTCGAGAAGTTGGGTGAATGCGTATCAGCCACGACTACGTTATTGCGCGAGGACGAAATCGTAACGTCATTTACATACAGCTGACATGATTTAACGTGCGATCTAATTTGCCGCAAGACGCCGGCGCGGGCGGAGAGTTTCGCGCGAGATCGGAGCCGCGCGTAACAGCGGGGCAACCGCGAGAAATCTCGAATCCAAGGCGTGTTTGTTCCTCTGTCGCTCTGTAAAGAAAGATTAATCCCGCGAGATAATATTATCTCCGACGAAATGCACGTAACTGTGCGCCTTCGCCACGCGGATAAACTTCGCGCCGTGCGGATTATCTATTACACTTTCCGCAGGCGCGAAAATCAATGAGCATCTCTTCGAGACGCGGCATTCCCCGTCTCGTCGAGAGCATCCCACAAATACCCCGCAGCTTTCGGCGGATAATTGGTCTACTCGAGAGGACAGTCACCTTATCAGGAATTATCCGGCACTCGATTAAAGTGGCTCGAGAAGCCAGGCCCGGTAACTGAGACCTATCCACGAGGGCGAGACGGAGAAAGAGAACGAGAAAGAAGGGACGAGCGGGGGGAAGGTTTAATCGGAACAGGCAAAACGAAGCATGCATAATTAGTGGGGCTTAAATAACGAAGGAGGAAGGAACGCACAACCGAGCGGAGATGCGCCGATGGGACCGGGGCGAGAAAAAGGAAGGGTGAACTGCAAGCTCTTTGACGAGGGAAAGGAGCGTGAAAGGCAAGCAAGCTCTTTCCTCGTTGATTTATGTGGACGCTCTCGCGTGGCACACCCGGAGACGGAGCTGCCGACGACTTTACAGAAGCAGGGACAAAAGCCGGTGGCACGCCACGGGAGGAATAAATATGAAACCGTAGCACTCTCAGTCGGCGCTATCCAGGGAATAATCTCCGGCGCGTAGAGCGTCTTGTCGCATTGCCGCGAATGGCGATGACACGGATACCCCCCCCCC